TAAATAGCATTGAATCGTATAGCCTGTTATACAGAAAACATATTTTCATTCTTCGTTCTGTTTACTGTTTTTTTTTTTTTTTTGTAACAGTCATTGCATCCACTGACTGAAAAACTCCAGAGGAAAATTGTGATTATGATCCACTTCTGGAAAATCAATAAACGTGTCCCGGAACTTGCGTGCACATCTGTTTTACAGATCTAGCTTATGTATATGCCGACTGTTGGTTCCACACTTTCAGGAGGATGCTCTCTAACTTCGATGTAAACATCCCTAGTTAGTCGCCACGTTTGCTATAGGGCAGTGGATCTATTCTTTTCCCAAAATGGGAAGCCGGAATCCACATGAGAATGCACCTGCAGACACAGACACAAAGACACACACACACACACACACACACACACACACACACACACACACACACACACACGTTCCTAGTTTAATTTAATCAACTCAGCACCATTTCAAAATATTCTAATAAGGATTAGTTTATAATTTAACATCTCTGCGTTTACAGAAAATAATTCTAAATGTATTTCTATATTTAACGCTCATCCGATAATATATAAAAATATTTGATGAGGAATTGACACACTCGAAAACAAAACCTAACCCACCCAATAATACACTTACATTGTCCGATTTTCCACCGGAATTAAAATCAGGGTTGGCGACAACAATTAGCACCAATATAGATATAGGAGTGAAGCAAGAGATAAATAGAACTGATATCATGACCACCATTTTAACCACATTCGCATTTCGTAAGTCTCTCTGATTTGTTGCTATATCCCTCCATTTTGACTGAATCTGGAGGTTTATGACTAGTATTACTGTACACGAGATAATGACAATAAAGGAAGTTAACGGTAAGAAAAAGTTGTTAATGGCGAAAGAGATAGTTTCCACTTGAAGTCTGTTGGTTGTGGAAATGATACCAAGTATAGTCTTGTTTCTTGTTGGAGAAAATTTACTGTGTAGCTTGATGACAGCGTACACCGGGGCTTCACAAACCAATAGAATAATGAACAAAGATACCATGATGAATGTCATTCGTTTGGTAGTGATCAGCTGCTTGACCTGTATGATGAAATTAAGTTTAACTTTATTTATTTGTGGTCACTGCTGTGTGATGAGAAATCAAGTTTAACTTTAGTTAGTTGTAGTCACTGTTTTGTAATGGCAAATAAAGTTCAACTTTGGTTAGTTGTAGTCATTGCTGTGTGATGAAAATTTTTTTTTTAACTTTGGTTAGTTGTAGTCATTGCTGTGTGATGACAAATATAGTTCAAATTTGGTTAGTTGTAGTCATTACTGTGTGATGACAAATAAAGTTCAACTTTGGTTAGTTGTAGTCATTACTGTGTTATGACAAATAAAGTTTAACTTTGGTTAGTTGTAGTCATTACTGTGTAATGACAAATACAGTTTTACTTAGGTTAGTTGTAGTCATTGTTGTGTGATGACAAATATAGTTCAACTTTGGTTAGTTGTAGTCATTACTGTGTTACGACAAATATAGTTTAACTTTGGTTAGTTGTAGTCATTGTTGTGTGATGACAAATATAGTTCAACTTTGGTTAGTTGTAGTCATTACTGTGTTATGACAAAAAAAGTTTAACTTTGGTTAGTTGTAGTCATTGTTGTGTGATGACAAATATAGTTCAACTTTGGTTAGTTGTAGTCATTACTGTGTTATGACAAATAAAGTGTGATGAAAAATGCTGTCAAATTTTGGATAGCTATAGTAACTGAGATTAAAGAAGAAAGAAGCAGTATTTAAACATAGCATTACAGCATACATTTATTATACAGGCATCTGAGTTTAAATATCTTGGAACAACGTTCACTGAAGATAGTAAATTGGACGAAGAAATTAATATAAGATGCAGTAAAGCTAGCCAATTATTGGGACAGCTAGCGCCCCTCTTACAGCATAAGGCATTCCCAATCAGCACAAAGAGGCAGTCTTATACACAGAATATTCATTCCCACCCTATGCTACCAGGGTCAGACATGTTCACTCACCATAAAAGATAAAAGAAGATTAGTAACCATGGAAATCATATATCTGAGAAATGCTGCAGGAGTGACCAGAAGAGGCGCGATCAGGAATGAGGTAATTCTAGATGATGTGATACAAAACCAATTCTAAATTACATGCAAAGACAGCAAGTCAAATGGTTTGCCCACTTGGAAAAAATGCCTTCTGATGCTATACCATACAAGCCATATACCAAAAGTCGAGAGGGACGTAGAGCAAGAGGTAGACCAAGAACAAGATGGAAAGATATCATAAGAGAAACTCTAAAGCACCATGATGTGTCTATGGTCGAAGCAGCCAGAAGAGCATAAAACAGGACCTTATGTCTCCCTCGACACCCGAAGCGGTAAAAGAGGACGTAAAGAAAAAGAAAAAGATTAAACTTCAGAAGCAGTAATTGTGACAAGAGCAAATGCAAGACTATAGTAATTTTATAACACACATGTTTTTTAGAAAAAAATAAACACAAACACACACACAAACACACACCGTTAAATTAAAATCACCAAATCAAGATTTAAAAAATAAAATAACAGGCGAATTAGAAAAAATTATACTAAAGGTAACGTATATTAAGTAGTTGAAAGTAAAAGTAGTTATGTGGTGGTAGTAGTTTTTTGTTATAGTAGTAGTAGCAGTAGTAGTAGTAGTAGTAGTAGTAGTAGTAGTAGTAGTAGTAGTAGTAGTAGTAGTAGTAGTAGCAGCAGCAGTAGTAGTAGTAGTAGTAGTAGTAGTAGTAGTAGTAGTAGTAGTAGTTGTTGTTGTTGTTGTAGTATTAGTAGCAGCAGTAGTAGTTCAGTTGTTGTTGCAGCAATGGTGACAATAACAGGAGAAGCAGTAGCAGGTGGTGGCGGTGAGTTGGTAATGGCAGAATTATTAGAACAAGCACAAGCAGCAGCAGAGATAGCGGATATAGTAACAGTATTAAGAATACTAGTGCCAGTTGTAGCAGCTGGGGAGGGGGAATAGTAACAGTAACAGTATTTGGAGTACTAGTGCTAGTGGTAGTAGCGGGGGAGGGGAAATAGTAGCAGTAACAGTATTAGGAGTACTAGTGCCAGTTGTAGCAGCGGGGGAGTGGGAATAGTAACAGTAACAGTATTAGGATTACTAGTGCTAGTTGTAGCAGCTGGGGATGGGGAATAGTAACAGTATTATAAGTAGTAGTGCCAGTTGTAGCAGCGGGGGAGTGGGAATAGTAACAGTATTAGGAGTACTAGTGCCAGTTGTAGCGGCGGGAGAGGGAAAAGTAACCGGAATAGTTTTAGGAGTACTAGTGCTAGTTGTAGCAGCGGGGAAGGGGGAATAGTAACAGTAACAGGATTAGGAGTACTAGTGCCAGTTGTAGCAGCAAGGGGGTGGGGGCAAATAGTAACAGTAACAGTATTAGGAGTTCTAGTGCCAGTTGTAGCAGCGGCGAAGGGTTAATAGTAACAGTAACAGTATTAGGAGTTCTAGTGCCAGTTGTAGCAGCGGCGAAGGGTAAATAGTAACAGTAACAGTATTAGGAGTTCTAGTGCCAGTTGAAGCAGCGGGAGGGGTGGCGGGGATAGTAACAGAATTATAAGAAGTACAAGATACAAAAAATTATAAATGGAAAACAACAGGAAGGCGGAAGAAGAAATGAGATATAGTAATTGAAGACAGTGGAAGATGACGAAATAGGACAAAGCAGATGAAGGAAGACGGGGAAAGGGGAAGTGACAGTGTTAATTACCCGCAAAGGAAAGATTACACACAAGCATCTCTCCAGCGTTATAATCGCTGTGACCCAGCTAGTCACACGACTGAAGGCTAAATGCGGTATTCCAGCTGTAATATAGGAGATCTCCTTTGGATCAAAAGGTAAATCCGCTCTAGTGAATGCTGGTGTGTAGCAGACGTTTAGCCAGCTTAGCGCCACCAGAGAACACATGTCCGACACGGAGAGCCCTAAATATTGAAGATAAAATGAGTGGCATATTAGTATACACACGTGCACATATCAGTACATTACGTAAATACGCAGACCCACCCAACAATGTATAATAACATATTCTGAGTAAGAGAAAGCAGAGGGTAGAAAAAAAACATGATGACGATAATGATGGTGATGATGAATGTGATGACGATAATTGAGGAGGAGAAAGAAAATGAAAGAAGAAATAGAAGAAGTAGAAGAAGAAGAAAAAGAAGAATAAGAAAGAGAAGGAAAAGAAGAAGAAGAAGATGAAGAAGAAAAAGAAGAAGAAGAAGAAGAAAAAGAAGAAGAAGAAAAAGAAAAAAGGAGGAAGAAGAAGAAAACAAAGAAGGAAGAGGAGGAGGAAAAAAAACAAGAAGAAATAGAAGATGAATAAGAAGAAGAAGAAGAAGAAGAAGAAGAAGAAGAAGAAGAAGAAGAAGAAGAAGAAGAAGAAGAAGAAGAAGAAGAAGAAGAAGAAGAAGAAGAAGAAGAAGAGGAAGAGGAAGAAGAAGAAGAAGAAGAAGAAAAAGAAAAATGTAGATGACGACCAGCAGGAAGCATATGAAAAAGAGCAACATGGACCAGTCAGCAATCGATGCGTCATGTGATAAACATTATGCCAACGGCCTTTACTTCACAAATCATTTCCCGACACAAATTTTAAACTGAGTCGACATTGGAACTCTAGGTCTGATTTAATGTCGGAAAATATATAAACATAATTTTGGCAGCAGTTTTTTATATAGCACCTAATATAGTGTCTTGCATGAACCGTTGAAATGAATATGTCATGATTACACTGTGTACTTGAGTTTAAACGTATCTCCTTTATTCTCTGGACATCTTCTTCTTCTTTCTTTTGTGTCCTTCTCCCCGACAATAAGTTTCAATGAGATGGCCACAGGAAAATAATTAAAGATTATAAACAATTTTATGAACAGTACAAGATAGTTAAAAGAAATATTTTAATAGTTTATAATTCTGAGAAATTGTTAATCGTTTTTATTTTCTTACCCAACAAACTAATGTTGATGGGGTCCTTGAATCCCTGTTTCACAAAACATATAATGTTGATGATGTTCGTTGAAATTCCAAACAAACATAATGCTTGACATACAACAGTGAGTACAACCCAAATAAAAATTTCGGTGGCTTCATCGCTCAATAACGGTGCATTTTGAACCGAATCAATCACAACCGAATTGTTTAACATTCCTAGTGGTGTAGGCAGAACGTCAAGTTTGATGCTGGTGTTCAAAAAGTGAAAAACATACAGGGACACACAGCATAGCTAGATGACCAAGACTTCGATGACGCTTTGTATGCCTGAAATAAAAACGATATACGAATATTACAATAATCTAAACACGATAGATGATCACAACAATTTAGACCAAAATGCATAGTTTAAATGCAACGAATTTAAATAAAGCAAAGAAAAAGCCATATCCTCCTGGGCAAAACCTTGTAAAAAGGGATTGATTTACACCCATCTGTACATTGTAGTTAAGAATAGAAACCATAAATGAATGAAAACGCTAAGATAAGTTTTAATAGCACAAGATAACTTTTGGGAGTCAACGGATAGTAAAACCAGTACAAACGTAAAAGATTTGACTGTAGTGTCAAATCATTTATGATTTAAAGATCAGATACATAAACATCAACTTTAAAATGACTAATACAATACAAAGATTCTGCATGTGAAGCATGAAAATGCTAAAATATTAGGAAAAACGTCATAAATACTCGCCCTTGTGTCTCAGACAAGTGCAAAAGTTCCGTCCTTGTGTGTTTGATAAGACACAAAGCAGTGTATTGTATGTGGAGTGTTGTGTGTGTGCGTATGTGTGTATGTGTGTGTGTGTGTGGTGTATGTATATACATATGTATGTGCATGTGATGTGTTTGACTGCGGCGTGCTGTTGACGGCACTAAAATGGCGAATGGTGATTACGTTTACAGTGAGGTGTACTTTTTACCTGTGTAAAGCCAGATTTGCGATTGGCCGGTAGCGCCAACAGCAGGCTAAAATGCTGGTGTTTTTGTTGGCACAACTGGCCGATACCTTATGCATTGTTTGCGCGTGCAAGCTTCACAATTCAGCTGGGACTGACACGTTTTTCACTAGTTTTCAAATGAGACAGTGGAAGACATTTTGTGCGATTTTCACTGCCACAGGAACTGAGTATTTAGAGTGGCTCCACTTGTCTAAACAGTGATTTAGGGAAGGCTCTGATGGGAAAAACAGACCTCGCACTTGTTAGCACTTAACTTAAATACGTCTTTCACAGTTTCAAAAGCTAAAATTGCTGCTTAATGACTTTAATTGAGGATTTAAATGCATTGCCAAAAAGAAGGTTGGCTGCAATGTACCTGACGTAAAAGGCACCATTATTTAATATAAGCAAAGAGTTATTGTTAATAACCTAACTCTTCGCGCCATGGTGTCTACTTGAACTCTATCAAATTACACTCTTGCGGTGTATAACACTTGACAATCTATAAATCTATTCTTGATCATGACAGATGTATTATAAAGAATTGGCAAACACAGTGTAACATAGCCCATAAAGGTAACATAGTCCTATAACTTAAATTATGATCAGATAACTTTTATGTAGTCCAATATTTTATGCCATCTTCCTTTGTCAGTTGAGACAAAAAAGAGAACTGATTTACTGATACTGATATATTGATATACGGGTGTCAATCATGGACAGTTAGTAAATTGGTGAAAACGTACTTGGAAGCTTCGGAGGTGGGGTTTTATGGATGAATGATGAGAATACCCTGGAAAGATAAAAAGAGTAATAAAGATGTCTTGAAAAGAAACTGGCTCACAGAGAAAACAGACTTCACACATCAGAACAAGACAATCTACATTCTTTGGTCATGTGATGAGAAGGAGAAAACCGGAGTACATCATGACGGTGGAAAAGTTGAGGAGGAGGAGAGGCAGAGGAAGACCCAGAGAACAGATGCTGGACAGTTTGACATTACAGCATGGAAGATCAACTGTATCAGAGTTGACTGAAAGTACACGAGATAGAATGTTGTGGAAAGACATGAATCCAACGCCACAAGGCATGGACTCTGAGAAGAAGAACATATTGTGACGCTTATGTACCACGTGTTTTTAGGTTCCTTTTTGCGCCCTTAGTCCAACTGTTATTTGAGGCTGGACTATATTTTAATAGATCAATCAGCACTCAGTAAGTCTTATTCTTTCTCGTTCACCGGTTGTAAACTTCAGCGGACAGTTCTGATAAAATTTGTGTTCAGAACTTTGGACTTGCTCTAGAACCGGAGCTTCGCAAGTACATCCGATTGAAAATGTGGCTTATTTTAATGCATATATTGGTCCCTAGCCTCTCAGACAAATGCAGCCGAAGTCAAAAAAAAAAACCCGCTGAAGAAACTGTAGACACAAAGAAGTTGAACCGGAATAGACCACAAGGCAGACCAAGACAATGTGGAGAGTGAACTTGAAGCAGATCTACAAACACACCAACTGAAATGCGTCTACACTGAGTCACTAAATGAAAAGAGAAGAGTAGATCAATCAAAAAGATAAATCGATGCAGGTGATATCTTCAGCAATGAACTTAAGAGGATCGGAATGCAAAATAAGAAGAACTACGAGGTCTCGAATTGCTTGAGACTGGAGCAAAGTCCAAGCAAACAAAGAAGTCCTGCAGCTTGTACAGAAAGGCGGTGTTCACTGGCTAAAAGAGAGAACACCGCAACCAGCACAAAAAACACTCCCATTCTCAAAAGTGAGGGGGTCAACATTTAAGGTGAGACATCATTTTTACTTGGGCAAGAGTTCTGCATATGTATACAAGATAAAAAGATTGGCGGCATGCCCGGGATATGTCAAGCCCAGCTGCCTGCAAGTTATTTGGGGTAAAGTGACCGGCCCCATGGTAACAGTGAAGCAGTGAGGGCAAAAGGTTTAAAAGAAACTACCCAGCAAAACCATTGGCAAACGATTTCGAGTGATGATGTACCCATCTGGGATCTACATAGAATAATAAAAATTTTGCCACCTGGGAAAAAAATGAAAACGAAATTAAGAAGAAGAAGCATTTATGTGACACAGTATCGACTTCTGAGTCACTATGATTGAACATAAATTGTTCACAAGCCACTAGAATTAGTTTTGAATTACTGCCATGACAGTCAAGAAAATAAACCGGTGCGTCTCCTTAGTTTTTAGAGACTCAACTAAGAAGGTATGCGGTATCACAAATATTAATCAACTGTAGCAATTCCAACAGTTTTATAATATGTTCGGTAGTTATTGATGCTATTTTAGTTACTCCCCTTACTACTTTAATTATTAAATAATAACTACTGTTGTACTGACAGTATGTCGTTCAATAAAATAAATAACAATAAATTATTGTGGTTCATTTTAAGAATGTAATAGTGACATCTAAGGTACGGATAACTGTATGAACAACCGTGTTATGCTCCTGACACACTAAATTATACGTATTTTTACTCAAACACTGACAATGCTTACAGTAATTATTTCGTCAAATCTATCATTCTGAGTTTAAATTAAATTCGTATGTATTTCAGAGAAAATTACTTTACAAAAGTTCATTATTCTACTGGGAGAAACACACAACAATCATTGTAGAATCAGTGTAGATAATATATGAAAATATCCATGATTTTTTTCCCCAGGCATAAAAAGGCTGGTTCACGACAGGTGTGACTCACAAAACCATGTTTTGGTATACACATAATAATGGATCCAGCCCATATATACCAAACATTGCAAGTCATATTCGTAGGGAAATACTGGGTTCACATGGAGTTTTGCTAGATAATTGTAAAGCGACGAAAAAAGTAGAAAGGGATTCGAGGCAGCATAGCGGCTAAACGATCTCATGTCAACCCTAAGCTTGTTGAATCAAATCCCAATAGTCGTATTTTTGTAAAAGTTTACCTCGGCTCCCAGATGGATCCACCCTTAAGTGGGTACTAGATAATCATATAGGAAGTAAAGGCGGTCGACGTTTATAGACATCACAACACTACTTCTAAAATAGAAGTCTATCATCGTTGGTCCGACACTGCCTCTTGTTTAAAAGGACCATTTAATACTTACTGGAAGAGTTTGAAGCGCACAGAATATATACAGAAGTAGTAGTAGTAACGCTATTGTAAGTCTCTTACCTGCTAACTGGAAGAATATGGGCAAGAACGAAAAAAAAAAAAAAAAAAGGACGAAATTGATAAAAGAAAAACTAACCGACCCTACCAGGTCGGTTCAGCCTAAAATTGGGACCAGGAAGTGTCCTGGGAAAAAAACGGCCAGTGTGATGATGACAACTTCACCCAAGTGTCTTCTATAAGTATGTAATTGTGTAGGAATATAGTTATATACAAGGTCGTAGGTTCGGGTCCTAGCGGCACCGGATTAAAAAAAACACCTTGAAACCTGGTCAAAAGAAGTAAAGGTGGCCGGCGTGGTGCTGACCACATCACCCACCAAATGCCAGTTGGTCTTTAACATATAGGTCTAGCCCTATATTACTTATAAGGCAAATATTTGACTTTGGTTAGTCCGAATCGAATTCGATCGGGAGTAGAGGCAAGCATTGACCAGCAGGCAAGGCAGAATAAAAAATTATACCACTGAGTCTAGGAATAAACTCACAGGGAGCAAGCACAGCAGGGATCTACCAGTCATCAGTAGAAGTTATCCTCGTCGACAAGTGTTTCGGCCCACGATTCTCCTAGACACTTTCGGAGGTTGGTCCACCGGAGTTCATGAAGCTCAGTACCCAGCTGCACGAAATTACCGGATGGTGTTTTTCTTACGGATAGGGACAAGACGACTTGGTGGTTTGCAGAAGGTACTGTGAGATAAGAAGTCGTCGCGGCAGCCTAATTAGAACAGTCAGCGTACCTGGACGACCGAGCGACAAGTTTATGATTGGTTTACTGGACACATGTTGGACTATTGTTAGCAGGTGCCAGAGGATCACTGTCAGACAATTCGGACACGATGGACTTTCAAGGGATGAAAAACCCTTTTCCGCTAGACACCCGGACCAGCCCACCGAGGCCCGTCCCCTTCGTTGTTTCGCTGCGTCCAAAGCCAGCTCGAGTCCCCTTTGGCTACCTCGCCCAGTTTTTTAAGTGTTCTTTTCCGTTCATTACCGCGCAATCCTAGTTCTTTGACCACATTGTAG